TAGGTCTCCTCCCAGGCCTCTTCCTTCTCTTAGGCATACAATTCAGTCCTTTAAATTTCAGAGTTAAGATGTCTTTCTGACTCCTGGAACCTAGTCTTTTACCGCACATTTAAAGATTTTCCAGTGTGCAACGAAGCCCATCTTACTGATTATGATTCTCAGCATAAGCAATGGAAAAATACCTTCAGCTAACCTAACCAGAAAAAGCATTTGTTGGAAGGTCACAATAACTCTCAGTATTATTGGAGGGTCTGGGTTCTGGAAGAGGCAGCAGATAAGAGAAGCTCAGTAGCCAAGGGCTCTAGAGCCACCAGCCTGGTATGACCCCACAGTGGACCTGAAGTCACCTAGAAGCAGAGGGGACCAATGGGAAGAGGGGCTAGTGGGCAGAAGGCTTAGGAGTTGAATATGTCAAAACACATAATTGAGGAAAAAATATCTTTGTGAAATCCATCAATATACAATATAGTCTGATTGGGATGCTCCTGTGGGTACCACTAGGGATGGACTCCTGCTGTTAGTGATGCTGTCACTGTATGCAGCATGATGGCCACGGGAGACTTGATTTTTAAGATCCTAAAGGAGTGAGATAAAAACACAAAAGGGACTAGCTTGGCTGGGTCATGTGACTCTTTGCTGGAAGGTAGAGTGGGGAAAGAGCACCTTTGGGCTGCCTCCCTTTCTTCTCTGCAGGTGTAGCCTCCTACTGAGAATCACAGTAGAATATTTTCTTCAACCTGGATGACCAGACAGACATTGGGAGACAAAATATGTAGCTTTCCTATGTCAGCTTTTTCTCTATTTTCTCACTACTTCTCATCATATAATGTCTTGTAATTTGGGCAATGACTGAAAGAGAATAGAAACCACTGAGAGGTTAAAGGAAACAAGGACACAGCATGATTTATTTTAACAAAATGACCTGGATTTGGTGTTGAGCAAGGGTCTCTCAGCCTGTGAGACAAAAGTTGGGGGCAGCTGGCTTCTTCTTCAGACCTGGGAGTAGTACATCCCGTTGAGCTGATAGACTTCCTAAGGGCATCATGTTCATCCTCAATCTTACTCTTTTCCCCTTACTTGGTTTATTTCTTGAACCTCAAACATATATGATCTCCTTAAAAACAATATTACATCTGTTTTCACTTGAGTTTCATAATTTCCCTGTACTTTCCTGATTCAAGTCTAAACCTAAGAGTCAGTGTTTTAGATAATCAGATTATTTGCTATTTTAGAGGAACTGAATGGATGAAATGGACCCTTTCCTGTCTGCTTGGATCATTTAGAAACAGATACAAGGAGTTGGTTGTTTGAGAAAATCAACAAAATAGACAAACCCCTCTCCAAACTAACTAAAAGGCAAGAATATTCAAATTAACAAAAGAGAATATCCAAATTAAGAATATCAGAAATGAAAAGGGAGACATAACAACAGACACTGAGGAAATCCAAAGAATTGTTAAGCCATACTTCAAAAACCTGTACTCCACAACATAGGAAAATCCAAAAGAAATGCATAATTTTCTTGATAGTCACCACTTACCAAATTAAATCAAGATCATATAAACAATTTAAACAGACCTATAAAACTACTTTGAGATTCCATCTTATACTTGTCAGAATGGCTAAGATAAAAAACACAAGTGACAGATCAAGCTGGAGAAGATGTAGAGCAAGGGGAGCATTACTCCATTTTTGGTGGAAGTACAAACTTGTAACAGCTACTATGGAAATCAATATAGCAGTTTCTTAGAAAATTGGGAATCAATCTACCTCAAGATCCAGCTATGCCATTCTAGGATATATACCAAAAGGACACTCAATCACATCACAAAGACACTTGCTCAACTATTTTCATAGCAGCTTTATTCATAATAGCCAGAATCTGGAAACAAAACAACTTAGACATCCCTCAACCAAAGAATGAATAAAGAAAATGTAGTACATTTTACACAATGGAGTATTAATCAGCTATTAAAAACAATGACTTCATGAAACTTGCTGGCAAATGGACAGAACTAAAAAACAAATCATCCTGAGTGGGGTAACCCAGACCCTGAAATACAAGCATGGTATCTATAAGTGGATATTAAATTTTAGATAAAGGAAAATCATGTTGCAATCCACAGACCCAGAGAGGCTCAGTAACAAGGAAGGCTCAGTAACAAGGACGGGGGGAGGTGGGGGATGAATGGATCTCCCTCAGAGGGGAAATAGAATAGATTTTGTGGGTACACTGGGGATTGGGTGGGGTGTGAACATGAGGGACCAGGCTGGGAGAGGGGGAGGAATAGAAGGAGAGAGTATTGAGAGAGATAACTGGAATTGGGGTATTTGGGGGGTGATGTGGAAACCTAGTGCAGTGGAAACTCCCTGGAATCTACTAGAGTGACCCTAGTGAAGACTCCCAGTAATGGTGGGTACAGAGCCTGAACTGGCCATCTTCTATAACCAAGCAAGGCTTCTTCCAATATGACTGGGCCATCAACTCAGCTACCAAACCTTTGACCTACAATCTGTCCCACCTGCAAAATATGCTGGGGTAATGGTGCCACAGAACTTGTGTGAGTGCTCAACCAATGACTGGTTCAACTTGAGGCCCATGTCACGAGAGGGAGCCCATGCCTGACACTGCTTGGATGTCTAGAAACCAGAGGCTGGACAGCCCAGAGACCTAAGATAGAACCCAACATGACTGGCAAGAAAAAAAGTCATTGAAATGATTTCTAATGATATTCTTTTATAGATCAGTGCCTAGCCAAATTGTCACCAGAAAGGCACTATTCAGCAGCTAATGGACACATGCAGAGACCCACAACCAAACACTAGGCAGAGCCAGGAGAACCCGGCAAAAGAAGGGGAGGAAGCACTATAGGAGCTAGGAGGGTCAAGGATACCACAAGAACATGGCCCACAGAATCAACTAAGCAGGGCTCATGGCGGCTCCCACAGACTAAAGTGACAAGGAACCCATGTGGGTCTGTGCTAGGACCTCTGCGTGTATGTTATGGTTGTGTAGCTTGGTGTTCTTGTAGGACTCCTAACAGTGGGAGTGGAGGTATTTCTGACACTTTTGTTTGCTCTTGTGACCCTTTTCCTCCTTCTGGGTTGCCTTGTTCAGCCTTCATATGAGAGTTTGTGCTAAGTCTTGTTGTAACTTGTTTTTCTATGTTTAGTTGATATCCCTGGGAGGCCTGCTCTGTGTTTTTAAAAGAAATGGAGGAGGAATGGACCCAGGGGAGAGGGGAAACCTGGGGTGGGGGGAAAGACAGGGAGGAATGGAGGGAGGGGAAATTGCAGTTGGGGTGTAATATATGAAAGAAAGAAAAAAGGAAGAAAGAGAGGAAGGAAGAAAGAAGGAAAGAAAGAAAGAGAGAAAGAAAGTAGAAAAGAAAGATGTGTATGTGTAAGCACAAAGGATGGTCATTTTAGAAACATGAAGTTGCTACCCCCACTTATGTGCATGTGAACTTGGGCTAGTATACAGAATTCCTGTGGTGGATTCGAGTCTCCACATTCAGACTTCTTTACACAGCCAAATTTCTTTTGTATTATTATTTGAGAAAATTTTTATTCAAATTATTCCATGCATATACATTTTAGCTTCAAGTCCCTTTGATGGCTTCCCAGCAACCAGTCTTTATCCATCATCAATGGGACAAATGATGGGACAAATTGACTTGACTTCTCAGAGGAAAAAAATCTGTTCTTTTAATGTGTCCCGGTTCTGGCTCTGCTTGTTCTTGCTATTGTGTTTTTTCTCCTGTTAGCTGAATTTGCTTATTCTCTGTGTGGTAAAAGATACGACCCTCTTAAGAAGGTTATTAGCTTTCATATTCACTTGATGTTCTCTAAGTTTATATACTTAATAAACACTAATCACTTTGCAATTTTGCTTTGAAAACCATCCCAAGAGAAGTGGATGGAGATGGATTAGACCTTGAGTTTTCAAAATTTCTGCTGCTTTCCTTTGTTTTTCCCTTGCCACAGCTCTCCTTTACTCCCCTTACTGAAACAATTATTTCCTTAAGTGACACATTTCCATGTGCCCTTTATTTTTATTCTGGATGATGTAATAGTGCTTGAGAGTGGGACTCATTTATTTTAATTTACGTACTTATAAATAGAAAGCGTATTTAATCCCTATATGTTGTTATCAGTCTTGAGGTAGGGTCTTGCTGTGTAGTCTGGAGACTGGCCTTGACTTTCTAATTTTCCTACTTTAGCCTCCAGAGTGCTTGGGATTACAACAGTGAGCACCAAGATGCCCAGAGGTGAGTGGACTGTATAGAGAAGTTAATCTAAATGTTAGTCAGTTAACATTTTTAAGTTAGCATATAAAATAATCAACTTTATTATGGCATTTTCATATATACATGGGCCCATATGTTTTGTTTGTATTGACTTTCATCCCCCATTGCCCTTCTCCATTTCTCTGAAACATTAGTTATTAATAAGCACACATGATTTGATTATTCTTCCTTTGCTAGTGATGCTCTAGTAATAATTTTCTTTGATGCAGCCTAGAGAGAGTAAAGAAGAAGAAGTTGCTATTGTTTGGAGCAGAGAAAGGGGAGCCACAAAAGGTGACTTGAAAGAAGGAACTATGTGTGAACAGAAATAAAGTCAAGGGAGTCTGCTGGCAGCGGGAGTGAAGGAAATTTCATTTTTCTCTTTGGTTCTGAACTCTCTACTGAGAATGTAACATAAAAATAATCATGAATATGGTTATTAACATTTATAAAGAAAGTTTATCTATCCACAAATCAATACAGCCATTTAAGATAAAATTATTTGTAACTTCTTTCATAAATGCACTGCATATATTTATTTCATGAAGCCTACACAACAAAATGTAATTTACAAAATCTAAACCTGCTGCTTTATAAATGTTGTAAAACATGTCTGTTAATTCTATGATTACTATAGTAATGCCCATTTTGTTTGCTTTTTTTATTATATGGGAGATTTGTGAAACTGATTTTGATAACTTAAAAACAATAGCACAAGGATATGTCTTAGGAGAAAAAGAACTCATGTGTACCTCTATCCTGAGACAAAGTCATTTCTATCAATCCTGGAGTGACACACCCAGTGAACCATTGCTTTGATTGTGGACAATTGTGATGGCCTGCCTTCTGTGGAAAACAGTGTTTAGAAACACAAAGCATTTCTTCCTTTGTAAGAGGGGTTATCTACCTTTACATATTCTCTAATGTTCTAACCAAACAGCTCTCTTGAAGAGACCTCCATAGTCTTACTGCAGACAATATGCCACTGTTTATTCATTGTATGCCTATTTTCCACCTACTGCCAGTCACCACCATGTCTATCATGGATGATTGTAATAGCCTCCCAATGGTCTTTCTCCTCCTACTCTTTCTTACTCTTCAGCTCACAGCCAAAGTAATCTTAAAGCATGTAGAATAGATAATGGTTGAAAAATCTTCATTTTACTATGTCCTAGAATGAAACCCAAACTCCCTACGACAGCCCATCAGCCATGCGTGATCTGATCCTCCCTCTCTTCTCCAGTTCTGGTCCACCCCTTGCTCATGTTCATGCTCTGCCCCAGCCACTGATTCTTGAGTACTGGGGCTTAACAAGCTCCTTTCCATTTGGACACTCTGCACTTGTCATCTCTTTTGTTCTTGTACCATTTATTTTCATGCCTGGTTCCATCTCAGCCCTTAAGCTCAAATTGTCTCCTTGGAGTCTTTGACTTTTTTTTTTCCTGAAACACCCCGGGCTCTCTGTTTGTGCTGTCATATGTATTAAAATCAGTAGTTCTTTTGTTTGCCTGTTTCTTTCATTGTTTATTTTCTACAATACAATACTATAACTGTACTAGTTAACTTTTGTATAATGTGGGAGGGCCCAGCCCACTGTGAGCAGTACCATGCTGGGGCTGAATGAGCAAAGTGAAGAGGTGGCAGACTGGGGAAGTGTAAGGCATGGCAACTCTAACTGGGCAGGAAGAATGCAAAACAAAGTGATGGACTATACAAAGTGATAGACTATATGGACAGTGGTATCTAGACGATTCCATGTATTCTGTACCCTTCTGTGGTGGCACTGAGGTATTTTTCTAATTACCCTCCAGTTTCAGTCCAAAGAGGACCTAGTGAGAGGAATAACATAGCCAGGAAGTATGGAGACCTAAAGGGACAGTTGCCTCTCAGGTAAGGACATATCAGGAAGCTGGGGTTCTCTGGTTCTGACGCTGCACTGGATTTTATTGGAGTTTATCATGGGAGTAAATAGAATCATGAGTTGGCATAGAATTTTGGAGCTGGATGGAATACATGCACATTTGCATGCCAATCTGGATATGTACCAAGAAAGAGCTTCATTTGCATTTTGTCTCCTGGAGATTGACCGTTGGTCCTTCCAGAGGCTTCCTGCTCATTATTAGTGGGACCTTTGGTGGACCTGTCCGACTCATCAAACCCATGGCTGGTGACTGAGGGTAAGCCTGTTTTTCTACCCTACTTGAGATGCACAGACATACAGTTTCTGTAACATCGAAGCTTGCCATGTATAGAGAGGCAATGTCTCCTCCTCTCCTCTCCCCCATCCCCACATGGGTTTTGACATTAGATAAAGAATGAAGACAGGACTTGGTTAATCTCCCCAGGAGTGTGGCAGGGCATGAGAAAATAGCTGCTCCTAATACCAGCAGTACCAGAAGGCTTCTAGACTTTATATCTTCCTGCATGCCTCAGCAGAGGATTGGGATGACACCATTTCTCCTATAAATGCCAAGAAATAGATGCTTGTATCTGACTGCAAAGCAAAATGACTTCCATCAATCATCCCTGCACAATACCATTACATTGTAAATAACAAATAGTTCTCACTAAAGACTTGGGAATTTTAATATAGTTAAGTTTTGGCCTGTGGCCATACGTTCTTGTCCTTCCATTTCCTGGCTGAAATCTTGTTAATTTTCACAAACTAGTTTGAGCTGGAACAAGCTGGTAAAGGCCTTTGGGGAAAGCACAAGGAACCTGTCTCATTTTTTAGTGGATGGCGCTCTTTCCTGCTGGCTAGCTATGACTATTAGCTGTGCCTTCAGAAGGAAGGTGCTGCACTCCAGGCAGCAACATCCTGGAGCAAAAGAAAAGAAAGGCTTCATTCTCATCCATCAAAAGACAGATCTCACCCAAGTCCCATCTCATGGATATCTGAGTTTCAAGTAACAATTAACTGTGAGAGTAGATTTAAACAATATCTGCCAAGGACTTATGTGTGGAAGTTCAAACTTCTGCTGTGGCCAAGTGAAGGCCCAGTTATTTCTTCAGGCATTCTGGATAGTCAGAGGGGAAGTTTTAGTGTAGTATTTTAAAATAAAAAAATTATTCTTACATATTTAAAACACAAGATATAGCTTAGATCTTATAGGGTTTTGTTGGCTTTTATACGCATGAATGTCAATGCCGCAAATGTGATGTTGGACATCAGGTTTTTTAGGTGATTATATTTTACTGAGCCTAAGGAAGGATATACATAATCTTTTGTTTATAAGCAAAAATAATTTTGTTTGCTTACAGAGTAATCCACTGCTTGTAAGTTATTTTCTAGTTCTGGGTTTGGATACCTCTTATTTTTACCATGAATACATCACAAATTCCCCTGACATCAGCCAGGAATTCTGGCTTAGGGGTGATGGCAGTCTAACAGTAAATTAATTAATTAGGAATCTGTTTTGTTTCAGACTGAACATTATTAAAAGACTGAATTTTTGTGTCATTTATACTCTGTAGTCACTGTAGGAGAATTCAACAATGGGATAAGTGAAAAGATAAGTAAACCCAAATCTACAAGTGGTAGCTTTTAAGTAAGTTATTCTAACTTTTCTCTTTGCTTTTTTAATGTTCTATTTTTCTTATCCTCTTAACACACACACACACACACACACACACAC